GACCGTTCCTGACGTATTGATTCATTTGCTAAGCAAATTATGAAGCGAAGGGATTGGTATGAAGCGGCCGTGATGCTGCATGGATATATGAGTACACATATGCAGCCGTACCTTCGGTAGCGGTTATTGGCAAGATGCCTACGGGAAACTCGTCCAAAATTGATTACTAACACAGTGAGAACGGAGGCTCTTTCTTCGCAGGATTTTGACCGTTTCACTCCGTTCTTTCGCCATTTCCCCACTATATAGCGCCCTACTAGCATTTTAGGCCGAGTACCAAATTATCGTGCCAACTGCCTTTAAAGCTCTGAAGGAATGGTATAAAGTTCATCGTGTCCCTCGAGCAGAGAGAACCCATTCAGTAGCTCTAGCACTTCAGGGAGGAATGGAGACGTTACTGGCGTTTGAGCAACTGAATGATCAACGAAGGCAGAAGTGATACAGGTAAAGAATGCCCGACAAGTGATTTTGAAATAAAAGAAAACAAGTTCCAGCGCTCGTCAGAGCTCTTTCTCACATTATTATACCATAGGTGAGACGACACTGGGTGCGGAGAAGTAACAATGACGTGCGGGGTCGCGAGCGTCCGCACCAACACCTAACTGATTCAACGTGGAACACCTGCGCTATGTACTCCTCAATAACAGATATACTGGCCAGTTTTTGTAACTTGTCATAACGAAGATGTGATGCCCTACACCCCTATAAGCGGCCTGTTTAATGGAACACTCCTAAAAAATCTTACCGAGAATATAGCCTTCAGGTAGTGGTGGTAGTGGTAGCCGTGCAACCATTTCCATCTGAGCTTCGGTCATATAGAACATGTGTGTAGGGTTGACTTTACACTGTATTTGGGGAATATGTGCGTTGACAAACTTTTCAACCTAAATCTCAATTGTAATGGCAGTCAACAGCAGAAGTTCCAGAAGCATTATTGACAAATCTTCGAATCTGCACGTCATGTAACCCTGAGATGCGGTAGGCGTGGCTGCGCACTTCGAATTAAGCAACGTCCGCGATCATTCGCCATTACGATCACAGATCATAGTGGATTGTATCTAGTTTGTTTTGGGGATATAGACGAGAAGAATTGCTGAGTAGCACGACGTCGAGTAAAAAAAACCATGAAAAAAAAGACGATGCGAATGCCTAGATGAAAAACCCGTTTGCTCCATCGAAGATTGGCAACGTGGCCCGTTAAAACTACGTCTCCAACCCTACACTCTCATCCGCGCAGCTGATCCCCGATAAGAACTATATGACAGTACAAGTGACGAATTTCATGCTTTTTCTTCCGCAGCTTCGTTTTATGAAGGCGGGGGCTTCGAAGGCGGAGTCTGGAACGTAAAAGAGTCACTGGAAAAAGAGGCCTCATTGATATTGCGCTATTACGCCCCTCCCGTACAATTTTCTGCCACGAAACCGGCATACAGTTGTTCTGCGGACCACAATAATAACGCCATAATTTCAACTCCTACATCTGACCGACCAGTCGGCGCGGCGTGGCCACTGTTGGTATTCGTGAGACATTTTGGTTATTGGCTCAGTTGTAACTGATGACTGTCTAACGCCAAACAAATACAGTTGTCTCCTGATTTGGAATGTTCACGAGTATCCTTCTAATCCACCTCAAAAGCAGCGCTTCCTCTTCCTTCAGGCGGATAAGAAAGTATCACTCATATCAGATTGCATTGACACCGCCACAGGTTTTGGCACCAGTTGGTGGGTTGAAAACCGTTCAGCAAATTCAAAAGATACTGCTATCCCAAAGAAACTGTTGAAAGGCGCTTCCGAAAATGGCACAGAAAAAATATCCACACAGTGTAATAGTTGTATTACAATATTGCCAGCGAAGTGTGTCTCTCCCTGAACAACCGCCGACCTTTCGCTGAATATTCCACTTTTTCCTAGTTTCTGGAGTGCTCCGAAACCAACTGCAGTCTATGACACCGCAAACCTTGCGAACTCTTCATGAATTCGTTCTCTCTCCATCTACCTCTCTGCGTCTGCCAATTCCTTAGGAAACCAAGTGAATAGAGTTGTGTGGGAAGCACCGCCCATTTTAGGTGTGTCTCGCAGAATGAGTTTGCCGTCCTTTGCTAATTTTAGTCCATTTTTCCCCATCTCTGGGCCGCTTTGGCCGGATTACAGGTTTTTGACCGCTCAGTTCCGGCGCGCTCATTATCCGCCCACTGTGGGCAGGACTCAGCATGAGCAGGCGTATACCGCATTTCAAGGAAAGCAGAAAATTTCCCACGAGGAAGGTTTTGTAGAAGCGTAGCATGCTTCGTTTCATCTGCACAACACACTACTATACAGTACGTTACGGTAAGCTCACCTCCGCGATGAGAATTTCTTCACCGACGAACAATGGCGCAGCGTTGAACGCATCGGTCGCTTTGACAAACATGATTAAAGCCTCAGCAAATCGTTCTTCACTGAATTCACCTTCATAGCAAAGATAGGCATGGTTCCTGGAAAAAAAATCCCTTAACTTCATAGGAAACTTTTATAGACCATAGGGCCTTTTTAGAGGTGAAACGCGTTCTATCGTTCGATAAAACTATGGACAAGGGGAGAGATGGAGCCGTATTTAATCCCGCTCTTCAAAACCCTGCCGAAATGTGTCATCATTACTCCCCTTCTATAACTATATAGCAGACATCCTTTTTTCCTTTGCACTCATTTCCCAGAGAGGAGAGTTGCCTTTGCCACGACTGAGGACGAGCCAGTCCAGAGGCGGCAAACCTGCAATCCTCCCGAAGTTGGTAAATTGGTAGCAGATGCACTTCGCAAAGCAAAAACACTGGCTCACTCCCGGAGGCTATAACCAAGTGCATCTACGAACGTAGCTAGCTAGTTATGAGCTAGTTATGAGCTTTGTATCAGTGTAGGTGTTCGAGAATTGATGACCAGAAGATGAAGCCTTCTAAATGGGCATCATCTTTTTTGGAGAGAGACCCTTATATTTCTATTCACAACTAAGCAGCGAAATCCACACGCAGCCTTGGGATCTTCTATTTTATAAATCACTACTATATATAATCCGCTAAGTTTGTCTGTTGTGTGTGTGTGTGTGTGTGTGTGTGTGTGTGTGTGTGTGTGTGTGTGTGTGTGTGTGTGTGTGTGTGTGTGTGTGTGTGTGTGTGTGTGTGTGTGTGTGTGTGTGTGTTTGACCGGAAATTCATAACTTTCTTCAAAACAGCGATAAAGCGCTCAAATTGATAAGTGATGTAGGGGGTGGGGCAGGAACATTATTGGTGGGTGGCAGGAAGTGATAACAGCTGATAAGATACCACGAGGAGCCTTAGAAGGGAAAGGTCACCAACTCTATAGCGCCGGCCACAACAGCGATGGGACGTTGGTTCCAAGAAGTTAGATCAGGATCAGGATGGGACAATTATTATTGGGTGGCAAGACGGCAGAGGACGCCCCCGAAGTTCATAGCACGAGTTGTAGCAGCACTGGGGGAACTGCTTCCGGCAAGTCATTCAGAAGGGGTTACAGAGCATTCGTGAAGGGATATAAGTTGTATATAGTGTGAGAAAAGGGCTGATAAGCACCAGTACCTGTTCGCATCCTTACTGCTCAGCCTGAACTTGAGCACCGGTGCCCACGAAACAATGGGCAGAGGCTTATGAGTCAACTTATTCCATCCCTTAGCGATAGGGTTATGACTGATTCGACCGCTAAACACTCGAGAGTCGACAAAAATTAAAAGCTTTGGAAGCTGCTTAACGAAAGTACTAGGATTTGAGTACTATGGTGTCCATGTTATGGTGTCCATGTTATTACCATCGAAATTCTTTCAACCGCGCTGTCCTATTTCCAACGAATGGTGAGTGCTCTTTAGAAATGTGATAAGCACCAGACATTAGCAAATGTTCATTAAACAGGAGAAACATAATGAAATGGGCCGTATTTCAAAAAATGGCGCTCGGGCCCAGTGTTCGGGGTCAGCACAGGAATCCTGTCAGCGATTAGTACCATTACCATAGATTCAACCATGCGCGCAGTAGTGCGCGTCAGCCAAGCTGGTGTATGTATATATGTATGTTTGTATGTCTCTCTGTCCGCAAAATGCTTCACGGGTAACTGAAAGAAATAAACGACTGAGAGCTAATCTTGACAGCGATTGGTGCAGATATATCAAACCGTTGTTTTGATTGCGATAACTCCACTATATAAGACAACCACTTCAGTGCACTCCGAGCCATTGCACGGCTGCTCGCGTGGCAGCTGGACGTGAGCGCGTGTAGTGGGGCAGAGTTCGCGGAAATGGGGAAGAAGGTAAGGCAAGAGCAAGGAAGGGGTGGGGCGAGGGAAGTGAGGTTAATGGGGAGGGGGGCCTAGAGTGCGCTTCAACAGGAGCGCACCATGACGGTGGAAATGGAAGCATTAGTGAAAGCGACGGAGGGAAAACCGCTAGCTGAGTCTCACGGCAATCTATAATGTGCTATCAATTTGAGGTGATATTTCGATCCGCCCCCACAAATCCTATCCGCAGCCTCATCGTGGCGTGGGGGTGAACGGTTTTGGACTGTTCCAAAAACGTACCAATGCGGAGGGTGCCACGTCAGAGCCTGGCGAGCTACGCGTGGTTAAATTTCTTCTCGCCGAAAACAGTAACATTATGGGCCTCATTCCCCTGAACCTGAGGGAACCACCGACAGGGCGACGTCGGCTGGGACCGCTCGGGCGAGGCTGCTAAAATCACAGGGCCAACGGAGATTTAAGTCGCCCAGGACTAGGATGACGATCTGTACTTTCAACGCACGGACGCTTGCATCGGAAGCTCACATCGAAGATCTGATGTTGCAAGCCAGGAAGATCAAGTACGACGTCATCGGACTGACCGAGACGAGGAGGCATCGCCCGCTACACGCCGTATACGAGACTGGAGAAGAACTGTTCCTCGGAACATGCGACAGCAGAGGCGTTGGCGGTGTGGGCGTCCTCGTCAACACGCACTTGGCCATGAG